GCCGTAACAATCACAAACTTAGGGGTTTTTTGTGGGGCACCCTGTAGATTGCATGGAAAAAGGGGAAACTACCGGGCGGGAACTACTGGAGGCCAGGATATCTGACTCAAACTTAATCAATAGACATGTTGATATACATCCCCCCTGCTATAACACCCTTCCTTCGCGTGGCCAGGAGGCACAGCCCAGTTCCCAGCCAAGGACGCACGCTATGAGGCGATGCAGGTTTGGGCTAAACTTTACCACGAATGCAACCCCCGTCCCCTTTTCTCGTAGCTGAAATAAAAAGCACGTCAATTCTTGATGCACACACTCATGGTGGCTGAAGATTGCCTCTTGTACGAAGCCAAAAGCTCAGACAAACGAAAAGGCTGTCCTAGTAATCGCACATTCATCCTCTTTCCAACAAGAACTTGGGACTCGCACATCCGCTTCCAGTCATGAAAGTGATAACTTTCTATGATGCAGGGCGAAGAGCTGTTTTACGTTATTTGAAACTAAGGTTTCGGTGAAAACTTAAATGGACGGGGAAAATTGTGCAGCAACTGTATGGACGATTCTGAGCTTAATGTCGTAGCCAGTCTCTCGCGCCAAGTTGTAAGATAGGATAAGTGTCACTAAAGGGTTTTTGGAAATGGCAGTATGCGTATACTTGCAGCATTACATACATGAAATAACTTCATGACTTCCCGCATTAACATGTAAGAAGCCCTGGATATCTACAAATCAACATGCTAAAGGGTTTTTGGAAATGGCAGTATGCGTATACTTGCAGCATTACATACATGAAATAACTTCATGACTTCCCGCATTAAGAAGCCCTGGATATCTACGAATCAACTTGCTAAAAAACAAATTTTCCGCACAAAAACAAACTGAGCAAGTGACTTTTTCATAACCAAAAAACGATCGAAGTAGTTCCTATAATTTCCATTGCAACGTTTGCTTGCGAAATACACGGATAGAAATATGACTGTGCCTTATCGCACTCAGCACTGCGTGCCTCCTTCGGCGAGATTACCCATTCTGTAATAAGCATGGGGTTTCTGTCGAGCTTGTGAGAAAACACAAGCTAAGAGTTACAGGGAGCCTTCACAGCAATCCGACGCAGAGTGAAAACCTGCTAGTTTATAATAGGGACGACTTGCTGTGGAATTAAATCAAGTTAAAATATTGTTCCGGCGCCTTCAGCCTGACTATATTTATGATAAGGCAAAAATTAGCGAAAGCACGATGCCGAATGCCATAAATTACTTGCAAGACGAGGCGAACTTTCACCCAAATTGCTCTTCCAGTAACAAACTAATAAGCCTAGACGGCGACATTTTTCTTACGACCTTCGCGCAAGGAGCAGCACAGCAGAACCCCTAATAAAATCCTCCCCTATTATCACGTCCGGCGACACAAGAAATAAATCAGCACCACTAACCTGTGTACTGGGTGCAGTGTGACTGTTTTAAAAATAGTTTCATGCTCTTATCATCAGGAGTGAAGGGTTCGACCGCATCACTACTTTTTAATAACTGTTCACAGCCCTGACGAAGTATATTTTTTGATCCATGATTCGTCTACATTTTCTGTCGTTAGATATACCACTAAAATCTTATAAAGGCTTCACCTCACCCTCGCAGTAGGCTAGCAGGCGACATTTCCATTATGACAGTCTTCCAGGCACTCTTGCAGTGCGCGCATAAAGCGCAACCG